ACATCTGAAAATTTACATATTGTCTACAAAATTAAGCTAAAGAGTTTAGATGATAACTTTACTTGTACTTTTGATATTTATGAGCAAGATACAATTTGTGATGCTGTACCTTCTGCCTTAAATGGGCCATGGATTAAAGAGCTCCAGTCCATGAATATACCATTTTATGACACTGAAGGTTCATCAGGGCCTATTGATCTTTTAATTGGTGCAGATGTGGCTGGTCGACGTTTCACCGACAGACAAAGAGTACTTTCTAGTGGTATTGTAAACATAGAAACTTACTTGGGCTGGACATTGATCGGTAAAACATCAGTGAATGCTGAAAAGGAAGATACGGCGATGACGATTGTAACAATGTTTGTGAAAGATGCCAATATTTCTGACCTTTTTTCCTTAGACATCTTAGGAATATCTGATCCAGTCGTCAAAGTAAAATCATGAAAGGAAAAGGAATTTCTTACGAAGAAATATTTTCAAGAGAGACTTCTAATGAATTAAGGATGATGGTCAGTACGAAGTTGCCTTACCGTGGAAAGATGATCACTTGCCTCTCCCCACCAACAGAGATATAGCGATAAGAAAACTTGAAGTCTCAACAAAAAGGCTGAATTCAGAAAAATTTATTTGATACCTATGATGATGATCTTTAAAGCAATGGGACTGAATTGGGTATAATAGATGATGTCACAGATGTGCATGTTTCACACCAGCACTTTCTTCCTTACCAACCTATAAGCACTTTCTTCCTCACCGACCTGTAGTCAAGGAATATGGTACTACCAAAGTACGTAAAGTGTTCGATGCGTCTGCTAGGCAAATTGAATCTCCATCTTTGAACCAGTGTCTAGAATCCTGTCCCAATTTATTAGAACTCATTCCAAGTCTTCTTCTGAGATTTGAAGATATTGAAGATATCTGAGATCTGCAGATATTGAAAAAGCCTTTTTGCAAGTGAGCGTTCGGCCGGAAGAAGAAAACTATTTGAGATTCTTCTGGTGGAACGATAGCGACTGTAAAGAAATTAAGGTAATGTAACACAACAGATTGGTCTTTGGTGTAAAGAGCAGCCCTTTTCTTTTGGAAGCAGTCTTAGACTATCATTTGGGAAAATATTTGAATGATGCCAGATATAATCAAGATTATGTTAAGATTCTTCTTTCGAGTTTCTATGTTGATAATTTAGTAACGAGCTTACATGATACATGTGATATATTACCCTTCACTGAGACATCTCAAGCCATACTGAGTGAAGGAAAATTCAATTTGAGAGGCTGGCAGTACACTAATGATAATGATCTTCAACCATTTACTTCCATATTAGGACTTTTATGGGATGAGATTGATCAGCATTCCCTCAACAAGAGATTAAAATATAGTCAACAACTAATCACGGATATACGAAAAAGATTCAGATCTGAATACATAGGACTTTTGATTCAAAGACATGATCTGAAGAAGCATGAGCAAAATATCAAACTTGGAGACGTAGTTCTTGTTGGAACTGATAATGTTAAATGTACTGAGCGGCCATTAGCCGTTGTTACTGAATTGTTACCTGTAAGAGACAATGTCCATAGATTGGTACAATTGAAAACTACAAATGGGCAACTTTTACGTCCCGTACAAAGAATTTTTCCTTTATAACTTTCATGTAATTGGTTCGAAGATCTAAAAAATGCAAGATTTGAACAAGCTCGAGTTGAAGGGTATTCAGTGGAAAACAGACAAAAAGATATTAAATCTGTAAAAACCAGGAGTGGAAGAGAAGTCAAGCCTATCCAAAGACTAAACTTATAGACTTTATAAATGTTTGGGCTTTAATTCAGTTCTTTTATGTTTTTCCATTTAAGTTTTTTTTTTTTTTAATATTTCTAATAGCTTAACTTGTTTCCCAACAACTTAATGTGGGAGGATGTTGGATTTCAAAACAATGTAGTTTGTATTTTGTACTTACTTTCCTTTAATTTTTTACTTAAATTATACTTATAATTTAAAATACTTATTACTTTTACTTTTTGGCCACTAATAATTGTTGTTAGTTTGGTTTCATGAAAGTGGCAGCAGGACAATTTATAGAATTAGGAAAATATATTTCTGTAGTTAGTTAGGCTTATTGAAGATTAATTGCATGTTATATACCTGAGTGATGTTTTATTAAATAAATGAATACTTTAGAATATAGTAGTCTCTTTAGAATCCGTGATACGCTGGTAGCATAATAGTTTGACGCGTAAGCGAACAGCTTTTACGTTACGGAAAGAAAGGAAGGAAAATGAGAATCCCTATGACCTTGATTAGCAGACTGCGTCCACGGCACATACTTTCGCCTTCTCTAATATAAGGCTGGTAGTTCTAATATTTGTGAAATCTTAATAAGAAAATAGGAAATATTGTGTTACTCAACAGTCTTCTATATGTATGAAAATTATAAAAATACTGGAATAATTAAGACACAATAACACGCCGAATAAATACTACTTCAGAAGTCAAACAACAAAAATCAGCGTTATATTTACCAAATTTTCACAGGACTAGTTTCGATGGTTTTACCGAACCACCATCTTCAGCTGCAAAACCGCAAATGAACCAGATAGGAAATAATGATTAGATAAGATAAGAAAGCCTGGACAAGAATAAGCAAGTGGCGCCATCTGTTGGTGAAACCAGAACTAAAACATAATTTCTTTAAAGGCAAATTTGGATTGGAATTAGGATCGTTAACTAGAACAGAAAGATTTTTATGAATGTGAAATGCCTCTAGAAAATCCAGTTCTCCAATGGAAGATGTTTTTTGAATAATTTTGGCAGCAGAAAAACTGAAAGTGTGGTTTTCGGACCAACAATGTTGAGCAACAGAAGACTTCTGTGTTTCCTTTTTTCTAACATATGCCTCATGTTCCTTAACTTCTCACAAACCTGTAAACCCTCGATTCCAAAGATTTTGGCTCCTATCGAAAAAGCTTTCAAGTTCAGTAAAGTTCAGATTCACAGAAAGAAATGATTAGGCATCTTATCGCTCATAATGTGAAATTCAATAATAAAACCTTTGAAAACCAAAATCTAACTGCGAGAGAGAAAGAGCTACATTGCGTGAAATTCATTCTAACCCGGATATTATTATTTCAAAGGCCGACAAAGGTGGCCAGAGAGTCGTCATGAATAGGAACACTTACATCGATGGTGTCACTAAACTCTTAAACGAAGGACCATATAATCCGATCCCTAAAGATCCTTCAACCTTCGGACTTGTCAAAAATAAAAACTGCGATCAAATCTTCGCAAATCATTTCAGGCAACTTAAAACATTCGCTTATCCCATCTGTTGCGAATTGTTGCCAGATTATATGCTCTTCCCAAAATTCATAAAAGTGGTATTCCTTTCCGCCCTATTGTATCAAATTTAGGTACTGCCTCGTAATCCATTAGCTAAATATTTAGTTTCTAGATTTTCAACTCAATTAGACAATAACATTTACACCATAAAAAATTCAATAGAGTTTGTAAAAAAAGGTTAAAAAAACATTTCTCCTAGTAATTTACTCATGGTTTCTTTTGAGGTAAAATCATTATCACCAATGTTCCTGTGCAGGGTGCATTAAGATGTCTAGACTTCGTGAATTTCATTTCTCCTGCATCGAAATTGATGAGCTAATTTCCCTCACTCAACTCTTTGAAACAAGCACATTTTGTTTTCCAAAATAAGTACTACAAACAAACTGAGGGATAAGCCATGAGATGCCTCTTAGTCCCATCCTGGCTGGTATCTACATGCATTATTATTAATGAAAATTATTTGAAACTTTAAACTTCCCGGCATGGTTCCGCTACGTAGACGATACTTTTAACTGTTTGAAGGTAATAAAGATGATTTAAATAAAGTTCTTTCAACAATGAATTCTATTGATCCTGTTATTCAGTTCACTTTTGAAACTTGAGACTTGCAATTCTCTTCCGTTTCTCGACATTCTGGTCACACGTAACACATCCAACTTCAGTACTACGGTTTACCGTAAACCTTCATCGGTTTGCCTTCCACCACACTTTAAATCATGTCATCCGACTAAACAAAAAGTTAGCTTCATTTTATTCCTATGTTTTCCGTGCTCTTCAAGTTTGCTCCTCCAAAACTAGCCCTTGATGAAGAACTAAATTATTTAAAAGCAATAGCTATTGACAGGGGCTTTCCACCCAACATTATTAATCAAGCAGTTAAAAAATTCTCATCTCAACACACTAAAAGGTACACTCTTGTTTTAGGAGATTATAAAAATTCTGTTGTCATTCCTTCTTTCCATCAATTAGCTATAAAGTTGCACATATTTTGCAGAAATTTAACTTTCGGGTTGTTTATTCTCCCATCAATAAAATTCCGAGTTCCATACTCAAGGACCCCATTCCGGATATGAATTCCTGGGGGTATTTATAGGATTCCTTGCCAGTGTGGTTTAATTTACATTGGCCAAACTAAGAGAGCTTTAAAATTTCGCGTCAAGGAACATGAGGCATATGTTAGAAAAAGGAAACACAGAAGTCTTCTGTTGCTCAACATTGTTGGTCCGAAAACCACACTTTCAGTTTTTCTGCTGCCAAAATTATTCAAAAAAACATCTTTCCATTGAGAGAACTGGATTTTCTAGAGGCATTTCACATTCATAAAAATCTTTCTGTTCTAGTTAACGATCCTAATTCCAATCCAAATTTGCCTTTAAAGAAATTATGTTTTAGTTCTGGTTTCACCAACAGATGGCGCCACTTGCTTATTCTTGTCCAGGCTTTCTTATCTTATCTAATCATTATTTCCTATCTGGTTCATTTGCGGTTTTGCAGCTGAAGATGGTGGTTCGGTAAAACCATCGAAACTAGTCCTGTGAAAATTTGGTAAATATAACGCTGATTTTTGTTGTTTGAGTTCTGAATTAATACTGGAATAAGTGAAAATCATTGTTCGTAAATTTTCCTAAATTTTACACATTTTTGGTGTGAAGGTTTTTTCTTACCTGATACGTTACCATCATAATATAAATTTGAAATTGCTATTGTTCTGGCATCTTTTATTACTACATCGCCTGATTTTACGCCATGCGAAAACGATTTGAAAGGGCCCAAATTCGCTGGTTTCGGAGCATTAAATCCCGAAGGAATCATGATGTGTCCAAAGTTAACCTAGAAAAGATAAGTTTAAATTTTTAGTAGAAATATTAGAAACAGATGATAATGTCATGGAAAAATAAGCTTGTGTTCTTAATATAACTTATATGACCTTCAGTGACTATTTGCAAAGAATAAAAAACCTTATTTAAGAATAAAAATTCCTTATTTAAGAATAGGATTGATGAGAATGATTTAAATTTAACAAAAAGTATTTTTTTAATTTCAAACTTTGTCAAATTAGAAAAAAAAATTTTAAAGTGACAAAAAAAGTAGGTGGAAAAACAAAAAGAAGAAAATTAACAGAAAAAAAGGGAATGAAATTACAACATTACTTACAGCAAATTTTCTACACCAGACACTCAACCATTTTATATCAGATATCTTTTTACCGTCTGGAAGAGTTATGGCAATATTGTGACTAAAATATTTTTTTAAAACTTTTGTCCTGAAAAATAAAAAGAAATCTTCAAAATAGTTTCCAGACGTTTATGAAAATAAGAAATAACTACCAGTTAAGGATAATGAAATTCTTAATACATGAATAAATAATATCCAATATACATTAATAAATGTACCTTACCAAGTAATATACCTTAACATTAACAATATGATAAAAATACCTTAATAATAATATCTAATATAATTTTAGACGGCAAGAAAACGGGATATATAAATTTAGAAATATTCTTGAAAAATAAGTATACTAATCAGAAAAGTACGAATATATTTCTAATTAGATATAAAATAAAGACAGTGCTTTAGAAATATTCTTGAAAAATAAGTATACTAATCAGAAAAGTACGAATATATTTCTAATTAGATATAAAATAAAGACAGTGATTTATATTTATCTTGTCACTGAAATGACCAACTGTTTCGATGTTTCGTTTTCCCTTTTTTTTTTTTTTTTTTTTTTTTTTTTTTTTTTTTTTGTGTGTGTGTTTGTGTGTGTGGTCGTTTCCTCTAGAAATTAGACTGACTGGGAAAGGGAGGGGGCAAAAACTATTGGTTGACAATTTTATGAAACATAAATTTTCTCATGATAGTTTAGCGACTTTTCTACAGTCGACGGCTACATTCTTATTACAGCCTCAATAAGTTGAAATAAATCATTTCTTTCTTTTTTACACCAATGCAACGCTATAGCTGTATCTAAGAATCACAGTTATGTGAAAGAGAGACCAATGACTAGCGCTATATACTACATGATATTAGTATTTAGGGACGATCCTAGCGGGGAAGGGTTAAGATGATGCACAACACGCGAGCGGCCAACTTTAAGGACGGCGAAATGATTAACAAACATTTTACGTTTCTGTAAAAAAAGAGCAGCCAATTTTAATTTGGACGTGGGCAGCTGACGGTCTAGGATTGATACCGTTCGGATTCCATGGATAAATACGTGAAGTATCTTTGACAAATTTTGCACACTAAGATATTACCAACGTTATATAAAATCTCCAATATACAGCATATTATACTATTTGAATATAGGTGACAGGTGACAAAGGACGGGGGCACATGGCGTCTACCTGAGATGTGCCGCTCGTCCTCCACTATCCAGCGTTTATTGAAGAATTTAAGAATTTAGGTAAGTTACACGGCTATAAAAGGCTAGATCGCGATACAATGGTTAATTATTTAGCGACAGAGGATGCAAAAAATATATTGCAATGCCAGAATATAAAATAGAGAACATAAAAGTAAAAGTAACATATAAGTAAAATACGCATAAAGGATGTAACATAAACATAAATTATAAACAAAAACATATAAAACACTCTTCCTGAGATACCTAAACATTATTAAGAAACTATATACGGAAGACCAAAGCTTGTTCGTAATTCAATACAGTTTCTGAATTAAACTGCAGATTACTCAGTATTCATCAGCTGTGCTTATGCTGAATCACATACGCATATTCTGCAAAGATGGATGATGCTAGATGAAACATACAGACTTTCTACAGAGAAATGTATTGTTCAGTGAGCCTGTCCTATCCTAGGGCTGATAGTAAAGCCAGGATTTTGGTGATTCACAAATTTTGTTGATTGCTGCTCGATTTGTAACCAGGGCACTTTTATATGGCGCCGTGTTGCTTGGAGGTGGTCGTAGACGTAGAGAAATGGTAAGAGGACAACTGAACATGCACTGGTTGGGGCTGCCCTCCTGGTCGCATACACATTGTATTGGTGATAAAATACTTTTGAAATAAATCGGAAAAGAGCCATGACCGGTAATAAAAACGCGGGAGCTGAGGTATGGAAATGTGGAGACGTTTGGAATGAAGGAGTGAGCGCGACGTCCCGCGCCACTGTTATTCCATTCTTATAGCATCTAAATGCAGTAATACGAAATAGATTGTACCCAGCATGTGTGCAATCCCTACAACAACATGTGAACAAGCATCTTCTAGTGCAGCGTTAGTGAATGTTTGTATGCCTCACGGTACAGTGTCCCAGTAATTAGTGCTATAGCATCCTCGTGCTAGTTTAATCAGTGTTTTTAATAAGTGCTATATTAGCTCCTGACGCTACAATAATCAACACCTTACATCTGTATATAGTAACTAGTTACCTACAATTGAGCATTACTTCCTCGGAGATATATGTCATCTCTGCAGTTGTACGTAAAGAAGTAGGATCTAGGGCGGTGTCTAGCCAGACATGTCTAGCCAGACATCTGGTTATTAACAAACATTGCAGAACTGCCCAACACTAACTTTGTGCTCCAACCTTCAAGTAGCTTCATGTGCTCCAATTGAGAAATTAATATGCCATCACGTGACCACATGTCCGTAATCTTTACACATTTATACTTTTACTTACATTTCTAATCTATTTCATCATGTGATTATGTATATGTTCATGTTGCATGTGTTGTGTTTATGTATTTTTAACTACTTAAAATCTGTAACACTACAGCTTGCCTTTTCAAATCTGCAATACAATACTACTAATGCCTTGGCCATTGACAATCTTAATAAACTCCCTGTGCAGCCTCATGGGTTTCCAGGAAGCTATTGCTCTAGATAGAGGAGGGCGTGAGTCATATGCCTGTTTACCTCTGTTAAATACCAGACGTCCCCGTGACCTACCTACTGAATTGCAAAGCATAACATTGCCAGTTCCGATAGCACTCTATCAGTACCATTATTGCCATTATTGCGAAATTGTGGCCATTATTGCGAAAAACACTAACTTTATGAGAATTAAAATTACGATAATACGACATTAATACTGTAGAGACATTAGGTATTTTTGAAGAAGGAAAGATGAAAAATGGGCAACGCCCTCGTCGGGAATCGAACCACAGACCTCTGGAATATGCGCCCAGAGGCATGCTAAGAAGGCGGGAGAAATACCTTATATACTCCCCCCTTTTAAAAGGCGACTGGGGATTTTAGGGGGCCCAATCGCCAAATCCTGGGTGTGGAGAATCATCATCCACCACCCTTTTAGCTCGAGCGCCATTGTAGAGACATTAGGTATTTTTGAAGAAAGAAAGATGAAAAATGAGCAACACTCTCGCCGGGAATCAAACCACGGACCCCTGAAATACGCTCGCTGAGTGCAGACCAATACACTATGAAGGCATGCTAAGAAGGCGGGAGAAATACCTTACAATACGAATTCGGAAAAGCTGAATGGATGCAAAATAAAGATGGAAAGCTGTTGAGTAAGAAAACATTTAATTTAATAAATGTTTGACCATTGAAAGCTATCATTCTCTGCCAGCAAATTTATGGCCTGCAGTCAGGTGAGTGTGTTAAGGCTTGCTGTTACTGGAGGGCATTTCATGATTTAAAGCATTTCTCCAGTTTCTCCAGTAAAACGGATGAAACTTATTTCCGTCATATATTAAAAGGGATTCCTGAGAATTTTAAACGGTCAAACCACCGGATTCCCACATATGCTGTGAAGAAATATAAATCATAAATTAACAGTAAAATATTTCCCTGTGACAGCATTTCTATTTTATTGTGGGGTACTAACAGCAGTTGCTGCATAGAATACGCAAATAGAGCATAAACATTCCAAAGTGTACTAAAAACGTGAAACTAATAATATAAGATGCGGTTCAACAGAGAAAACTACTGTCTTCCTCGGTGACAAACAAGTGAATATTTTCTACCGCATATGTTTACTTTTTTTTAAATCCTCTATAATTTTAAATTCTTATAAGTGTAACTGAAATAAATTTGGAATTTATTTCTGGGACGAAGAGGAAGAAAGAAATGCTTATAAAAATTTTTATATTAAAAATCAGGTTAAATTTCATGCGAATAAAGAATAAAAATATAAATTGAAATTTCTTTATAATGTTAACTTACGTTCCATATTCGTCTGGAACTATGAATCCTTCAGGTGATGGTTTATCTGAAGTACCAGCCCAAAAATATGCATCTGCAGAAGAAAATAATAATAAAATCTAGTAATAATTTTTAAATTAAAGGCATTGTTGTAGAAAAATTGAATCTTACCCGAGAGCAGTATTTAAATATCTCCCAAAAAATTAAGTACATGAGATAGCAACTTACTATGACACCAGAGAGGAGAAAAACAATATTTTCACTATGTATAGCACAACAAAAATGTAGGATAGTTAAACAATTTTAAACTTTAAAACCCACACAGAGATTTAACTCTTCTCCAAAATTTCACAGTATTTTAGTAGCTAGAATGCCTGCTCAAGAATACACTTCGTCTTCAAACATAGCTTGATCAGTTTCACCAAACTGAATAAAATTATTAACGAGTAAATGGCTATCTTGGTAAAGTGGCAAGATATCGCCAAGCTGGCGATGGTTTAAGCGACTAATTATTTTCGTCAATTTTCCGAGAAATCGCCCAAAATCATCAGACTTGGTGACCTTTTGGTCCGTTCCCTGCATAACTCTAATTGGTATTGTGAGTCCAGGGATGGCTAAAACAGCTCCAGGAGAGTAAGGTACAACGGAATAAACTTAAAACTCTCGTAGACTACTTGGCAGTGCGAAAATCTAAAAGCAGTCTAGAACTAAAAAATTATAATAATAATAAAAATTAGGGTAATAAAAATGACTCTCAAAGGGTCGTTTTTTAACATTTTGTGTGTTATCTTTATTTATTAAATACTTCTTCACACTTGTACTTAACACTTACAGTTACAGTTCTTCACACTTAATATAATTCAATTCAACTCAGTATCACAAAATAATTTAAAAAGAGCGTATCTTTAGAATATCCGACACACAGTCTCGCGCGCTGGAGATAGTTCACTTTTTTCGTACAGTATTGCCATTGCTCGCTTTGAAATCGTTGAGTTTGTTAATCAAGATTAAAAGATTAAGATTTAAAAAAAAAGATTAAGAAAAAGAGCTCTCAGCACAGATCTAGCAGCTGAGTAGTGTAATAATGAAATTCATATTTTTAGTTCCATCTTCAAGTGTTCTTTACCAGTAACCGGTACAAAATGCCAAGCAGATATAAAATGGTGCTCTATATGTAAGTGAACTGAATATGTTTTACAAGGAACATATAAATTTTCAGCTCTACACTCTGATTTGTAGTATTTCTCAGCGTCACTTTCAGTTATCGATCACGCAGACCATACATAATTGAATTGTAAAGGAGCTGTAAATAAATGAATAACACAAGCGGCTACTATAAATGTGATAAGGAAATATTACACAGGAACTCTGCATATATCTGAACAGCACATATGATGTACATTAATATACCCAGTAGATATTGTTGGTCTAAATGCATCTGAGTAACTTCTTATATCCAAATTACATCTGAGTAAATGTTCTCTATAAACTCATTATCACAATGCATAAAACATTGCTAAAATCCTCACTCAGCACAGTCAAAGTCTTGACAGCGTCTCTTTAAAAACCACACGTTAGAAATACCCATCTTCCGAAGTAACTTTATAAATTCTGCCACAAATTTTTATATTTCATTGGAGATGTTTGGATCGGCCTAGCGACAACAAAATGCTCTACCAATTGTGTACAAATACTGATAATCATCTAACAGGTTGTATAGCAAATCTAAAGGTGGTAAGTAAGTAATTGATATTTTGACTGATAAATGTAATTCATCTCTCTATATAAAGCTAACCGCCTTCGGCTCTCATAACGCCTTCCAGTAATTTCGAAAAGTGAAAGGTACCAGAGCTTTTTCAGCGGCTGGGGAAAAAGCGACTTCGGAGTATTGAGATATCCATCAGAGCTTCGCCTTTTTAGACGCATGTTTGCATTGCGTTGTGGTTAATGTTCTTAGTGGTTTGGAGTGTAACTAGTCATTATGCTCTGTGATACTAAGAAAAGCTGTACTAGTGCTTTTGTGAAAATTTCTAGACCTGTAACGTGTTTCTTTGGGTAAAACTAAATTTTATCAAGCTGTCTTCGGTTCTGTGTGCCTTCAATCTATTACGAATCCGTACGCAGGCAACAATAAATGTTCTCCTGATAATTTTATAAACACTTGGTAACTTTCGTGCAGTTAATGAAAAATATTTCTAATGCTACATTTTGCATATTATGTTACTTCATACATACGTTATGTACAGAATAATTTTTATGATGTTTTGTATTACTTATTTTACTTTATTATTTTTAATGGTAAAATTCTTTTCCGAGGAGTTGTAATCTAAAATTTTTACCCTTCAAATTCCTTTTATTATTATAACAACTTGTTTAATTACAAAATTATATCATATCTTGAAACAAAATCCATACAGAATTTTTTCTAATAACATGTGTTAATAAGTGCATCACTTGAAGGCTTAGAAATTAGAAACTGTGGCTGCATTAATGCAAAGTAAAATCTCTGATGAAAGCATTCATTAAAATTACAATGTAGTTGCTATTAAAAATTCAAGCGAGCCCATTATATTACAGAGCTAAGTATATACATCGCATCGTCTTAAGAAGGTCTGTGGTATTTCAACATTTATTGGTTCAGAAATGAGTCAAATTGCGCTACTTTCCACATTAGACAAATACTAGCTCAAATCTCCTAATCAAAATGTGATTAATATTTACTTAAACATTTTTAATAGTAATATTTAAAATTACCTATGTCATATTATTTTAAGTATTATGAAAATGTCTTTACAGGAAAACCGTCGTTATGTGAGTCAGAATGATTTAAGTTTATGCTTCACCTTCCCAATTAAATTCAGAAGTCATAGTTATCTTACGCTGATTTCGTAGTTTTTAGCTCACCAGAGTCCGAGTGGATGAGATCATTGGTCTCTGGTAGTTCGAATCCTGGCAAACGGGCTGAATATATAGGTTTCTTTATGTTTTTCATCATGACTAACGTAAATACGACCATTTTTCCTTAGAAAATCCAACACGAATGCATTCATTCTCTTAAGAAGGTAGACCATCTGCGCCTTGCGTCAATGAGTAATTAATTAAGAGTTAGTTTTCTTTCAAGCAAACAGATACATTTACATATAAATTTGAAGAAAAATAGAAAAAATACATCTTAGTGAAAACTAATGCTTTTTATCTTCATTGTTTTAAATGTCTGCGCACGAGTAGCCACATTTCTTGTTTAGTAAGACGTATCGAAGATTCAAATTTCTTACCAGGCCCTTCCCCGTCATACGTGAAGTCTATTAAGTAAAACGTATCTTCAGAAGCAGCGAAAACAGAACCTGAAACATCGTGGGCATTAGTTTTGAAATCAGAGATGTATTTTCCATAGTAATTGTGATCAAATCGAAATTTATGATCGTCGTGTAATTCTGCATAACGACCCTGTGTTCCATTTCCGCTGGGAGTACCTAAAAACAAAAGACTAACTTATAATTTTATAACTGACTCGACATATTTTAAGAATCAAAGCAATTTCATAAATATTGTAATTCATTTAACAAGGACTGCATTCTTTAAAAATTATAATATCTAATTAGCACTTACTAGCTTCTACGAGCAGATCATTTATATGAGCTGGAACATTGGGATGCTGTGGAATCATTACGTGACCAAAATTCTGCTCGTAACGTATGCAGTAAAGTCCTATCCATTCTATGTCGAACACTGTTATGTCCTCTGGTAAGCGAAGAGTCACATTTTCACCTTGATAGCCCCTTATCTTTTCTAGACTGAAATGAAATTAATGATTAGCATAGTCACCTTTAAACCACCGTAATAGAATATATTTTACTAAATTAGAATAAAATAAATTATTTGTTTAAGCCGAGGAAGAAATCTGCAAATTCACCAACATCGCGGTTTTTTTTCGATGTTGTATAAATTTACAAAATAAGTAAAATTTTGAAGCTTTAAAAACTTTTAACTTAGGGATTAAAAATGAATTTTCAATACCATATTTAAAAAGTATGAAACCACCAAATGCAAAAAATTAGACACTTATCCATACTGGTTTCCAAACATCTACTACTTTTAACAGAGAGAAATTAAAGCATAACAATATTGTATTCCAAATAATATTCATGAACATGTTTCATATTTTAGCAATTCATTCAGCAAAAACTTTTTTCTAGCTTTTGAATACAAAGTATATCATACAAGAGTGATGCAAATATTATAAACTAGTATTGTTCCGATAGTTTCAAAATTTCCTTCACTATTCTTTAAAGATATATTTCTCATTCAATTAATTCAGTTGTTACTTTGCGGCAAGGCAAAAACACATAAAAACGCAAAATATCTTTATTAAAAATTTAAAGATATAGAAAAACATAAAATACCCAAAACAGTTAAAACAATTAAAAAAAACAATTTTTACAATTAAAATTACTTTTCCTACGTAAAATCCAGCAATTCGGCCAGCAGGCAAGAAGGCAGATTTTTCGGAGCACAAAACTAAAAGTTCCCTTTTATGTCCCATACGGCAAAAAGACACTGAAGGTGCAGAAACTGAATTTGTGGTGGACGCTATGCCAAGTCAATATATGAGATTATTTAATAACTTAAATGAAAATTCTAGAATGGATTAAGCATGATTTAATTCCCAATAATAAAAGAAGACGTTACTTTGTTGTTGCAAATCTTAGTTTATCTAGATTGGCAACAAATCCACTATTCTGCTAAGTTTCGAATGTCACTAAATATGACTGCTATAGTAAGAAAAAATAGGCTTAGCCGCGCTTAAACAACTTTTAAATCGTTGATATTTCTACAACTACTGCATGCAGATTAACTAAAGACATAAAAACCTTAACCAGAAGATAAGAACATGTAATTCAATCATTTTTACAGCAAAAAATGCACAATTTACCAACATATAATAATAAATAACTGAGCTCACTAAACCGAGTAACAGAATGGGTATATATATATTGAATTAATGAACTGAAATTCATTGAAATCGAAATAAATTTCCTAATACTTGCCCAATAGCTGCAAAGATAATAATTCATTTACCAAAGAAATATTGATTTAAATCTTCATTTAGATACATTCTACTAAATTTATATTAGGAGATAATAAAATCAATATTTCTTTCGTAAATAAATTATATATATATTTATATACTTTTGGTGCGGCCGATTGCAACGAAAAAGGAAGGTGCATAACTACATATTATAGCAGTATTATGTACAAAATTTCACCTTTCTGAGGCTACTCGTTTTGAGTTATGCGAGATACATACATACATACGTGCATACATGCGTATGTACAGACGCCACGAAACAAATCTCTTCTGAATCCATTTTAAATCAGTTTTAGAATTCCTTTGCGGAAAAAAGAGTCCTTTATTCTGACCTTACGTACAGAAGTCAAGGAAAAACATCGTTAAATTGCATTCGAAAGCGCTCAAAATGGATGTTTTCGTTGAAATATGATACCCGGAAATTTTCGTGATTACAATGCTTCCTTTACTTCACACAAGGAGGTAAAAAATTGAATAGATAGAGAATTTCTAATGGATTCAAGACTAAATGTGGTTAATGAATGACCATCGCTGATTTATACTAGATTAAGAGGATATTTAAATTCCGAAATACCGATTGCAAATTTTTTCCTTAATGGCCTATTTTCTCTCATTTTTTGCTTCCTTGTACGAAACAAAGGAAGTATTGTAATCACGAAAAATTCCGGATACCATTCTTCAACGAAAATATCCATTTTGACTGTTATCGAATGCAATTTAACGATGTTTTTGCTTGACATCTGTACGTAAGAACAGAATAAAGGACTCTTTTTCTGCAAAGGAATTATAAAACTGTTTTAAAATGGATTCAAAAGAGATTTTTTCGTGTCGCCTGTACGTATGTATTTTATATATCTCGCATAACTCAACGAATAGCCTCTGAATGTTGAAATTTGGTATATAGGACTGCTGTAACATGTAGTTGTGCATCTCCCTTTTTGGTTGCAGTCGGCCGCACCAACAGTATATACCCACTCTGTTACTCGGTTCACCGAACTCAGTTTTTATTCTTATATGTAGGTAAATTGTGCATTTTCTGCTTTAAAAACTAATTGAATTACGTTGCTCTTATCTTCCGGTTAGGGTTTTTATGCTATAAGTTAATCTGCATGCAATAGCTATAGAAATGTCAACAATTTAAAAGTTGTTGAAGTGCTGCTAAGCCTAATTGTTTATCATAGCAGCCATATTTGTTTACATTTGAAATTTAACAGAATAGTGAATTAAGTCTCTCTGCAACTTTAGTGACATTTTGCCGAGTGGACAAAGTTAGTTAGTCTAGTATTGTACACCGAAAGATCTACCTTCGTGTCTGCTGGGTGACTTGCTTGTTTTTGTGTAAGAACTGTAACTTTAAGTACAGTTTTTTAATTGTTTTAACTATATTTACTGTTTTATGTTTTTCTATATATTTCAATTTTTAATGAAAACATTTTGAGCTTTTATGTATTTTTGCCTTGCCGCGAAGTGGGATCTGAATTAATTGAATAAGAAATATATCTCTAATGAAATTCGAGGAAAAAAATTTAAATGAAATGCAGGAAAAAATGCATGTATTTAATATCCCGTGCAAGGAAGTCATGTGGTGTACACATCAGATTTTTTATTCCTGTAAAAGAAATTTGCAGTAATAATGTACGAAAAATGCAGTGCCTCTCTTAATCTTTTGAAGGTAATAGCTGATATGTGTCTTAGACTATGCTACTGCCAAAGACGGAATCTTAGTCCCTTCATGGAATGCACCGGTGGCCACCTATTTTAATAAAAAGAATTTAAATATAAAAAAATTAAATAAATGGTCTTTAACTAAGGAATGAAATAATTTGAAAGCAGTACTCTTGCTAAAAAGTAAGTAATAAATAACTGTAGCAAAATAACGATCTTATTCTGAGCAATTTATTCTGAAATCTTTCCGCAGCTTTGCATGATTATGAAAAAGCCAACAGCTATCACCGTCACATGGAACCGTCACATCACAAGGAATACAGAAATCTCTTGGGTAAAGTCTTCTGAATAATAAATACATGTTTAGCATCCTTTTGAGTTTGAAAAGTCACGTTGAATTAAGTCCATAGAATATGTGGGGATGTGTCAAAATGCGATATGTTTTTTCCTCACTTTCAAATCTCTAAAGGCATGACAATCTTGCATCAAAAGGGTATTATCGTTTTTAATTGTCTTTTTAATACTTAAATCACACAGTATGCAATTTTTGATTCAAAAGTTTCAGAAAATTCCAGAAAAATTACATCAGTAACAGTTTCACTACTGGGACCGAATTCATTAAACACAATTAATTTTCTACCGCATACGACAATGAGTACTATTACGCATTCTTATTTTAATTGCAGAATTTACTTTTTCTTTTGATTTTGAGAATTAGGTGGTTTTCTCTTTGGGCATTAAAAAAGATTAGTAATTTGTTTCACTTGTATTTTATTAAAGAAAAATCTACATACTTTAAATTACTTGTCGTCATATTCACCATGCGAATTAAGCGATGTTACAGAATTGTTTCCAGCGAAGCAGCATCGTCGTTATGGATGTAGTATCGTCATTATGGGTGCGGTCGCGTGCTGTCATGCAACGAACACAATACCAGAAGTCAGTAATCCATGTCTTTTTCTGTATCGCGCGCCATAACTTCTTCGGTGTCTGAGTAAGCTATAGCGTTGATTGCACCGCATCGTTCCATTCAGTCCACTAACGAAGTTCCTGGACAGTCCCAAAATACGGTGCACATCAGTTTTTCTTAATGAAGTGCCTTAGCTTTCTTGGGTCTCGGGGAACCAGTATGCCGCCATTCCAGTGACTGTCTTTTCATTTCAGACGTCTTGTAACAAATCCATGTTTCATCGCCTGTAACAATCCTTTAAAAAGAAAATCACTTCTTTCTTTCCCGTAACGTTTCAAAATCTCCAAGATTGTTCCAAGCGTTTCCGTGTTTTAACATCCATTAGTACTTTCAGTACCCATCGCGAACACAGTGTTTTTGTAGTGCAAATGTTTCGTGTAATAAAGATCGTGAAGTGTTTTAAAATGCATTGAAAATCAAAAATCGTGAATCGCCTATAGGAAGAAACTTTTTCGTCGATGTAGAGCAAGCACCATTTCTTTCGTGATCATCAATGGGCGTCCAGCACTGGGCTCTTCGAGGTGACCCTTTTCCCTTCCTTTGCTAAACATTCCTAGCTCAAATTTTCACTATACCTTCACTCATCATGTTCTCTTCGTAAGTTTCACTTATCTAACGATAAATTTTACGAGATCGAACATTTATCGCATTCAAAAATTTTATAACGGCTCTTATTTCATAGCTGGTGGGCTGATCAATTGGTTTAAACATGATTACTGACAAGCAATAACTTTTAACGTTAACGTAAACAAACAAAATGGCTAGGCTAATTCGTTCACGAGATGAACGATGTAAATACGCATGCGTGACTTTTGTACTATCAGATGCGCGGGAGATATGCTCAAATGATACTCAATTTCTGCATCAGTTTAATATTTTGGGTTCCTTTAAGAGGCAGCAATCACGTTAAACATTTTCCATGTTCACTTTTATTCATTTCATGCTTTAAAATAGTTATCCATATGTATTACTCGATGGCAGTTCTGAAGAAGCTCTATGAAGAAGCTTTTCTAAAGTATATATGCTATGAAGCTATGAAGAAGCTTTTTTATGTATATATACTTCGAGTTAATTTATAGATTTTCCGCTTTTTCCTCATATAATGCATTTTGTTTTCATATAACAGCACTGCAAGTTTACATATTTTTTTTACATGAATACTAGCAATACTTACGAATAATTTTAATTAACTCTAATAGAGCAAATTCAAATAAATCTTTACGTGTATCTATTCCACACATAAAATAATAATAAAGTTAAAAAGAAAAGGCACAAAAGAATATCTGGATTTTATGTTATTTTATGTTATTCATAAGCGTTTGCTTGTGAATTCATTGTTTTATGAATTTTATTTCGTAAATGGTATGGAATACATTTAAACGCAAATCACTAACCTGCCGTTTTCATCTGGAATCTTTATTCCTTTGCTATGAGGTGTTATTCCATTTCCAGCAAGGAAAAAAGCATCTGTGAAATTAAGAAGAGGTTTCAGTGAGATAATTATCAACGAAGATACAAATAAAAACCTCCAAAAGGCTGAAAATTTTAGTTTATATCTTTATTTAATGTGAAAAATTGTAATTAGGTTTTATTTAATGAATTAATTAATATTTAAATGAATTCATATTTAATTTTATAGACAAATTTTCGGAGACTTAATTTTCAAAAGTCTCAATATTCTTACATAATATTAATAGCTCATAAAAATAGTCCAGTTCAATTCGAGTCTCAGAGCGTTTCCGAACAAGCAGAATACACTGTGACTACGAAAACTTCAAAAAGATCCAATGAAGAAAGTCTACTAATCACTGACAAGACTTTACTGGTCAGGATTTCCATCGAAGAATCGTAGAGTCATTAGTTTTTTTTAGGGGGGGGAAGCAGGAGATGTGAAAAATGAGCAAAGACTTCTCCCAGGTACATCCCGTTGCCGGCTAAGAGCACACTTTGAGGTGACTTGCAGGACTTGAGGGGGATTGTTCTTCAGCATTCAAGCACAGATGTGAGCACAGGATCGAAACGATGCTTAACTCCACTTTAGTAGCACTCTCTGAGTTTGCAACAGAACATAAATTGACTTCAATCCAGCTAAATCAATAGAGACCTTTTTTACTACTAATAAACACCTGTAAACTACAAACCAAAGCTGTATTTTGAAGCTCAGCCCCTCACGTATGAAAAACATCTCAAATACCTAGGATTCATCCTTGATACTGAATTGAATAGCAACAGACATATAGACTATTTGGTTTCGAAAGCCCGTAAGCACCTAAACATTCTTAAATATCTAGCTGGCAGAGATTGGGGAGCTGATGCAAACACTATTAGAACCACATATATTGAGCTCATAAGACCTATTCTATAATATGGCTACCCAATTTATTCCTGCTCGTCTTAAACCAATCTTCAGGAATTAGAACGTGTACAACTGAGTGCTGCTCGAATTATTTTAGGAATAGCTGCCCTTCTGCTATAGTATTGTTCGAGACCAACTTACAGCCACTGCACGTTAGAAGAAGAGCCAATTTAGTTAAGTATTTCAATAAAATTTACAGCTACGGCCCCCAAGATCGTACTTCGTTGTATCTCCATTATTGGCACAACAGTCAAAACTCAAGAATTACAACCCCTTTAGCTTGGCAGAAACTCAGAGCCTGATCTCTTGGGAGGTTGTACCTCTATCACTGATGAGATCCTTTATTGATCCGACAATGGGACTACCGAGAGTTTTCTTCCACTTTGATCTGAAATCCACTGCATGCAAACGAACTCACCATGAAGACCTTCTTAAACAACTGGCTCTAGAAATTATTAGTTGCATTCCTAAAGATGCAGTGCAGGTCTATACTGATGGTATTCGTACAGAAAATCGTACTGGCAGCGGTATCTTTATTAAAACCCCTCACTTTGGAACTATAATAAAGCAACGCAACCCTGACACTTACTCTGTCTTCAGGAGCGAGTTAACTGTGATTAATGTGGTGTTTGAAGTCATCTTGGCTTATGATTGTGATTTTGGAGAACTAGGTATGGATTTTATTGGACAGCCTCAGCGATTGGTCGTCCGCATGCGATGAAACCAGCATATCTATTCTGCTCAAACTAAGGAAAATCTCTCAGACCCACGACGTCCACCTCCAGTGAATTCCATCACATGTTAATATTAGTGGTAATGAGGTCGCTGATAAACTGGCAAAGGAAGGTACTGAAAATGAAACGGTCACTGGCTCCTCACTTATTTGCCAAGAACTTTACTCAAATGATAGATCTAAATATAATACGGCGTATTCCACCTACGCACCAATAGTACACAGGAACATCCCCTGGCACTCTACTGGAAAATAAATGTGACCGTGGCTCCCAGACTGCTCTGGCTAGACTAAGCAGTGGCCCCTTTAAATATATTTCCTTTGATAGTGACAGAAAAATCCACCTCGCTTGTAAAAAATGCTGTGACCATCCAGCTTCACCGGATCGCATAGTGGGTTACATCGGACTTTCTAAGGAGAATTTAACATCCGATCCCTCACTGTTATTGATTTTTTGACAGTCAACCTTCTGTAGCTGATCTGACATATGTCAGATTTTTCAAGAATAAGCAAGAACAACAGCACAATTATTAGTGGTAATAAATAATAACCATAGTATTACTTCTGAAGTTTACGTTATCTGATATGGCAAAGCATATAAGGAATACATGCTTAACGGAAGGAATACCTTCATGGAGATGTTTCTAAGGGAATCTGTCTCGGGTACGCGTAATACACTCTTTTGAAAAAAATCGAATCACCATGAAGGCAGTGGTGGTTTTTGATGAAACTGCTTATGTGTATACTTCATACATAGATAATGAAATGATTAAAATATCAAGTTCATAGTACCTGTCCACGGTTCATAATCACCCGTTGAGTGTTTAAATTAGTAGTTGGTCGAACCGCCATGGCGGCAAAATGCATGCTTGAATTCGTCGAAGCAAGGAGTGGTAGAGATTCCTAATGTCATCCTGAGACACATTCTGCCAGGCATTCATCAGTTGTCGATTCAGATCTGCGATATTTTATGGTGCCCGAATCTGGCGGCCTACTATGCCCCAGAAATACTCGATTGGTGAAAGGTCTGGTGACCTTGCTGGCCAAGGAAGAGTATCAACCGCATGGAGACTGCCCAGAGATATGCGAGCGGTATGTGGCCTGGCATTATCTTGTTGAAAAATGGCCCCAGGATGACGTGCCATGACGAATAATACAACAAGACGCAGGATGGTATCAACATATCGTTGAGCTATAAAAGATGTACGAAGGATGACTAAAGATGACCTGCTGTCATAAGAAATAGTGCCCCACACCATCACACCAGGAGTTATGGCTGTATGCCTTTGTAAAGGAAAGGCTGATTGGGACCGCTGGCCCCGTCCTCTCTAGACACGAACACGGTGGTCATCTGCTTCAAAAGTGAAGCGGGATTCATCGCTGAACACTATGCGATGCCAGTCTGATGGCAACCATGATGAACGGTTGCGGCACCACTCCAGGCAACTAAACCGATGTTGTGGGTTCAAAGGCAAACGTCTTAAAGGCCTCTGTGTTAGAGCGGTTTGGGCCTGGTGAACAATCCCCTTATCTCGCCTCGCATTTGTAATCCTTGGCCTTCCGGAGCCTTGATTTCGTCGGCAATTTCCATGTAGCAACCATAGCTGCCAATATCTTTGCACAGCAGTATCTGTACGCTGCAGGCGGCGGCCTATTGCTCGGTATGACCATCCAGCCCTACAATGCAACCCTACAATGCGACCACGTTCAAAGTCGTTTAGTTGTATGTAAGGTCTTCGATATCGTCGTAATGGCATCTTTAGTTGCTTTACGGAATTACAATGGCAGCAACAAAAAAGGATAAATTTTCCGCCTCTGTGACTGGTTTTATACTTTGCGAATTGCGCACTAGAAATGAACGCTATGATCGCAATTCTTGTTCATTTGCCTTGAAACTTTGATCATTTGCATGTTCGATCAAGATGTTTTTTCATACCAAATTTCGTCACGATTGCAAAAGTCCTTCTTGGTGCTTCAATTTTTTTTGCAAAATAGTGTAAATTGAGATAACCACTAAAACCAACCATACAACCAACCCGTTCGCTTGCCTTCAAGCTCGACTCGAACTACTAGAATCCAGTGGTATTACCACTCGGCAACTAATAGGATGTAGATTCTGAAGATTAGAAGTAATATACTATAATGGCTCTGTCCGACGTGAATATTACAAAATATAACATTTGCTTTTCTCCCGGATACAAATAGTGATGTTTTGTAAAAGTTTAGCATAATATTAATGTGTGGTAGTTAAGAAAATAGATCCAACAGTTCATTCAGCATTATAAAATACCAAGATGTCTACTGGATATACACGTAATAACAGCGAAATCACTTAAGGAATAGAATTTTTTTTAAAACCAAAACATCGTTTTATGCATTTCTGTAAAAATTGCGTTGCTATACCCAGTAAATTCATAGAAATATAATTGGATCACCATAGATATAAGAAGGATTTCGATATCAGTATGTTTCGAGAATGATATAAACGATATAACATAAGTCATAGCTATTATATAAAATAGATAACTAAATTTTATGATTACAATAAACTCTAAAAATACATTAAACTGTGATATAATAATTCATTACCAGGTCCAGCTCCATCGTAATAAAGATTTGAAATAAATATTGTTCTAGCATCTTTGATTATGACGTCATCAGAACGAACACCGTGTGCTAATGTTGGTAAAGGCCCTAAACTTTTTTCAGATGGAAGATCGTCTGTTGGTATGATTACGCTACCAAAATTCACCTGAAAGAAAGGTGAGAAATATTCAAAAAAATAAATTTTGAATTGCATGCAAATTTCAAAAACTGAGAAGTACCAGAGTTCGGCTCCGGTGGGATGCGCTGAATTTAAACTCTGACTATACAGCTAATTATCGTAAGTCAATATACCATTAACTTAAATGAAAATAGCATTCTTTACAGTGAAGCTCTTTGCTTAAAATAAATAAAAAAATATACTTAAATTTTTGTTCTCTTAAAAGAAAAATATTATTTTTGAAAATAAATGTTTTACTTAACTTATTATACACAACATAATATTTAAGTAATGATACTTTAAAAATAATATTTTCTTTTATATAACAAAAGAAGAATAATATTTGATGTTGATGCCATTTTAAATAAACATATAGAATATGTTTCGTAATAACAAAAAAGGGCACATTTTCTTTTTTTTTTTTTTTCTAAATAAATGGACTATCAGAATAGAGCCCTTAAAATTTTCTATAAATTACTCTAAAACTCAAAATGTTTAAAAAGCTCATTTCAGTATAATCAAATAGGTATACTCTAATTACACAAAAAATTTCAAACTTGCATCCTCAGCAGATTTTGGAAAAAAGTTACGCTGAAAAAAAAAAAAAAAAAAAAAAAAATCTTCCGTTCTACTGGGCCAGTTGACGAAATTCGAACTGCGTTTTTCATCTCTTGAAAGTGCAACTTAGGATATGTATTAGATTTATATATAACATCATTCTAACATAGGTATTTTGGCTCAAAATCGGACTTTTCCTGACATGACATGCCAATTTTTTTTCCATATTTCGGTTCTACGACTCAAATTATGCCTAAATATTAAATTTTGTAAAATGTGGTGCGAAATTTACGAAGAAATTAAGAAAATTATCTTCGCGTATTTTCTTTTCAGTTTTCATCAAGAACAATTTATTTGGCGAACTTCTTAATTTATAGCAGCCTATTTTCCTTTTCTTTTTTATTGTAGACGAGCGGGAAAAAAAAATCATTGTTCATACTTTCAAATAATTTTAACAAAGTGCGTATTACCGTTTGACGTTATTATAGCTAAAAAAAATGCAAAATTTTTAAACGCTCCAATATGTAAATGCATGTATATCTTAGAAAATTTTGAATAAAAAACTTTGATCTTTTGCAGGGGTGCCCAGAAATACATCTACTTTAAGACGACGGTAAAAATTTTATAGTTTATTATACAAAATGTTTTTGGGAAAATTTATAAAAAATATCTAAAAATACAAATTATAAAAATAAATCGTAAAATATGTGCGAATTATATTTGAATTAAGCTTAAATTTCGAATTCTTGAAGAAAGAATCAAGTAAGTTTAATAAAAAAAAGAAATATTAATAAATATATATTAAATTCAATTAACATTGAGGAGGTAAAATTTTGAAAGCTAATCTTTTAAAAACTGCTCGTGTGATTTTTTACAAAACTTGGCAGTTAGGTATAATTAGGTATTAGGAGAATTAATGCTATTTTCATGGAAAAAAATTGGTATGTCATTTCAGAAACAGCCCGATTTTGCGTCAAAATACCTACATTAGAACAACGCTAAGTAATTTAATACATATCCTAAGTAGTGCTTTCGAGACATGAAAAACGCAATTTGAATTTCGTTAATCGGCCTAGTAGAACAGGAGATATCGAACTGTCCCCCCTCCTTTTTTTGGCAGTGTACTTTCAAAATGGCCAATTTAACATTGTTCCTTACAGGGAATTCCGACTTCCCTTAATCCCTCACCTGGCGGCATTTCTCTTTCACTTGGCAATTTTAATAATCTATTTTAACTTTATTTGGCCAATTTATCTCTCATTTGAGAACTTAAGTTTAAAAATGTTATCATTTTGACCATATTAACTGAACTGTTGACCACAATAAGAGATTACTTTCCATGTTTTTATACACAAAAGGGCGGAATTACGAAAAATTGATAACAGCATCCGAATGTTAACAGCAACTGCGATCACATTTAGCAGCGTCTACTGTACATTAATTTTAATCTATGAACAGAATAATCAAATTAAATTCCTTTGATTTATTTATACAAAAAACCCTATAATTCTTCGTTTAGCAACTGCCATTATCAGCCTTTTATGTTATGAATTATAGTTTGCACTCAGATTTAAAAATATGCAATTAACATTTGTATTTTACTTTAAATCAGAGTACTTATTGCATAAAACGAGTTGGTAGTGTTAAAACCACTAAAATTTAAAGAAATAAATTGAATTCATTATTCTTCATTATTCATAAGAAATTAAAACTATCTGTTAACTTACAGCAAATCTTCTACACCAAACAGCCAAAGATTTGATATCCTTCATAGATTTCCCTTCAGGTAGAGTTAAGATCAAATTTTGTCCAGTGTACTTTCCTAGAACTTCTTCACTGTAACATAAAGATAATAATTAAAGACACATTAAACAAAATCCTTTAATTAGATTTTTCGTTAAATTGTAGCTCAACAGTTTGATACCAGTTTATGATTGTAGGAAGGGTGACAGTGATGGAAGTACATAGGTTAGGTTAATTGATTAAGGCAAAACAATTCCAGAACTATCTGCATAGAAGGAGGGATGCCTTTTTAAGGAAAACAGGCTCATATCTACATTACATATAGGAAAAGCTACGAAAACCAACCATGCAGCCAGCCCGTTCGCCGGAATTCGATCCCAGATCGAACTACCAATGTTCTGCCTCTCCTCCGCTGGTGGATCGCGACGGCAGTACTATTCTCCTTCCTATCGTGTTTGATTATAGTTATCTTTTAATGTGCTTCATTATTATGAGCAATCTAGTGAATTCCTGCAATGAATAACCCCGCCTGAAGCTCTGCCTCTCAAGCTCGAAACGTTGCTAAATGTTTAAGGAAAAATCATCCTACATGATTTAAAGATTTTTAAAGCTAAGCAATAATTAACAGACAGATCATTTGGCATAATATTTATCTTTATGATAGTGTACTGATAAAGGTGAAGTTCCAATTCCGGTTTACAACAATAATAGGAAAAGCGTAAAAGCTCATAGACGTCTTTAAGCACATTGCATCAAAACTTATTTTATTACAGCTTTTTTAAAAATAAGGAATTCGCAGTTATCATATGCCTGAGTTTCATACTTCTTGAATCTTCAAATTGTAATTCCTACACATAATATTAATACCTTCATACTAAAATATACTATATTGCTACACCTTGTATATTTTTCTAAATTAAATTAATTTTTGGATACTCTTACTAAGTTGATAAATGAAATTACATTTGTAGTGGAAGTTTTTTTTCCTAAGAATTTAATATGGCAGTTACTCACAGCACACTGAATTTGATGCACTTTTCGGAAATGGTGGAGATATCTCCCTATAAACTAGTTCTTTAAAGTGAGGATTATTGCAAACTGCAACAATTGCATTTGGATTTTTCTGTTGTACATCCAGCAGAGAGTTATCAATGTAGAGTACACAGAATTACTTATATTTTTCAAAACAATAAAACGATGTAAATTTACCTCCCGTTTTCATTCGGAATGATAAATCCTGAAGGTGTAGGGTTCTCTGATATGTCTCCCCAAAAGAAAGCATCTACAACAGAAAAATGGTACGTGTGTTAGTTAAAAAAATATAAATAAATATCATAATACTACATTTAATAACATATATTTTAATGATATATCACTAATATATATATATATATGTTTGTGTGTGTGAGATATATATATATATACAAAATATGAAAGAAAACTACTAACTTTAACTCAGCAGTAGTCCCTTTAATTCCTTATTTAATTTGGCTACGTCTCCTTCCTCTCTTAAAACTACTCTTATATGAATTTAAAGTGCGTCATCTGAAAATTAATTCGCAATATGCCATTATGTAAGATTAGCATTGCGGATGATTTTTATCCAATCACAGTTCAAAATTTAAACAATGAAACCGACTCTATAAATATGGCTTTGCTAAAATGCTACACCTTGTATATTTTTCTAAATTAAATTAATTAGTAGCTGAAGCTGAAATGCTGATTTAAAAAGCTGTTCATACGAAGAAGAATATAGATTATTGTGACCTGAAGATTTCTAATAGAGAAATTGATCCAAAATTAGAAAAGTTTCATTTTCATCCGGCACAATTTAAAGAGGTTACCTGGAAGACACTTCTTCCAACTGGTGTTTTGTTTGGAATTATTCTCTGATGGCTCCGTGATTGATAAAAATGTTGGAGCAGCATTTGTTGCTTTTGCAAATAATAAATTTGTATATAAATCTAAATTAAGATTGAATAATAATTCAACTATTTTTGATGCAGAACTTATTGCCTTTGAATACGCCATAAGATGGGCTAATGAGGAAGAAAATGAGAAATATATTACAAATTGGGAGATTTCGGTGTTCACAGATTCCCAGAGCATCCTTAGAGCTCTTAATTCTAGAAAATGTTTATCTGCAAAAGTAGATAAAGTCAGAAATTATATTCACAATATTAATTCAAAAATGAAATTACATATAAATTGGATAAAAGGACATTCGAATATTTATGGAAATGAAGCAGCAGATTCTGCTGCTAAGGAAGCATGCTATAATACAGATATTGATATCACGGTTCCTTTATCTCTTAATTATATTAAGAGTGTAGTACTACATGACAAGATTCTCCACACATGGCAACAAAGATGGCATTATGACAAAACTGGACGAAAAGTTTATAAAATATTTCCTGTTGTCAAAGAGCAAAGATTAAGTTACAATAGATTGCTAAATCAATTGATAACAGGACATGGCCAATTTCCAGAGTATTTAAAAAGGTTTCATGGGAAAGATATTCATTTCCGATGTGGTCAGGATGCATCTGGAGCATCTAATGGACATTACATTTGGGACTGTGCCTTAACGAAGGAAATTAGAGGAGAATATTTTCGAAATATATCTATAAATAATAAAAAATATCTATATAGCAATAATAAAGCTAAATTAGGACTTATAAAAATTATTACCAATTTGAATAATTATGTATATTTCGATCCTTTTGTTTAATTGCTTAAATTTTTGAGTTGAATTGCATAAATTATAATGTAATTTGTATACATACAATGTATAATTTACTGAAAACTGTAAATGCTTATTGTTCGTTAAGCTAGGCAATATTTGTATTTTATAATTGTTGTTTAGGTTAGCAGTTGTCTTGAGTTCAATATAGTCATTTTATGTTAAGAAATAGGTGGTTTCTATTCTGAATGAAGGTCGAGATGACCCGTTGGCGACGCCGACACATCTCCAGCGGAGGATAAGTTTTTGGATAAGTAGTCCTTATTCTGTTGTAGTGTTTATCCAGTTATCTTTCAGTTTGTTTCTTTTAAATTGCCGGTTGTGCCAATTTTGGCGGCACGGCTTATTTTCTTAGATTAGATTAGATTTTCTAAAATGCGCCCTAATATTCCTGCTTTCCTCTCACCGTGCCAACATGTGCTTCTTATAGCTCTGCTTTATCCATCGTTTAAATGTGTAAGTAGCTGTATACAATTGTGGGGTTCATAACTCACCCATAATGATGATATATGAACCGTGAATGTTTATCAAGGCTTGCATTAATACGAAATAAAACTCAGTTGAATCTACGGCCACATCTGCAAATCCATCATTCCATCTACGCATAAAAGCCTCTCGAAGCAATTAGGACGCAGATAAATATCTCATCTTTAACCAGTAAACCCTCCAGTCATCTTATTATACATATATACTATATTTTGCATATATTTACGGAGAAACATCGAAGGAAAGGTTTTTTTTTAATCTCATATGATGGTACATCAGAAAACAAAAAAGTCCTATAAAATAGCATTTTTAATACTACGTCTAAAATTGCTAGCAAAATCCTAGGATACTTGAGCAGATGCTTGTTTAGTTTCATAATAATTAAAGACATTCATTTGTTATAATTTACATGCATTCATATTGCTGCTATAGCTCATATTGTTTGTGAAATGGAATATTCATAGAAAGTCTGAAAATTAGATGTCCTGTGTTTTCTACGACATTGTATCAGTTTGGCAAGAAAGTAATTTCGGGTGTTTGGAGTGAAGTAGAACTCAGTTGTTTCCATGCAAAAAGTGAGCTTTAATCATTCAAATATCTTCCATTCTGTTCGATGACCTTTTGCCGTCTTTCTGGTGCCTTCATAATTCTGAGCTCTTAGAATTTCTGTCTTTATCAGCAAAAAACTCAACTAAGTGCCATTTGAGGTCATCATTATTATTGCAAACTTTTACCATTTAAAAAGTTTCGTAAATTTCAAAATAAATGATAATCCAATGGGTGCAAGATCGGGGCTGTATGAAAGATGCAATATCATTTTCCAACCAAACTCCAATAATTTCGTACGTGTTGCTAAAAAATGTGTGAGGTCTCACACTGTGATGGCGGAACACGTTTCCTTTGCGATTTCTGGCCTTTTCTTTCGGATTGCTTCCTCAAGTTTTGTAAGTTGTTGGCAGTAAATATCCGAGTTGATCATTTCGTTTCGTCGAAGCAGCTCAAAATACGCAATGTTTTTGTAATCCCAACCAAACTGTCAGCATTATCGTTTTCTGATGCAATTTAACTTTCAATATAATTTGCACGGATTCAGTATGCTTGTATACCATGATTTTTCCCGATTAATGTTAAAGTAGACGATCCATATTTTCATCACCAGTAGATAAGTTGTTTCAAAAAAGAGTCAATCGCAATATCTTTGAAATGCGTACCGAAAATATTGATTTGCTGTGTTAAGTGAATCTCTTTTAATTTATGCGAAACTCAGATATCAGATATCTTAATGGCTGCCTGACATCTTATGTGATTTTCAGTTGTTATGTGTACATTCAGTTGTTGTGTTTACATTTAATCTTTTTGCAATTTCTTTCACAGTTATATGACGATTCGATTAAATTACGGCTTTGGCTATGTAATCATCAACTTCAGAAGTTCGGCCAGAACGTCGCTCATCTTCAAATGAACAATTTCTGAATGAAATTATCTTCTCATATCTCTTTGTGAGCCTCACCCGCTATCTTACCTTTATGGAAATAAAAAAGTATAATATGTCGAAAATGTTTATTTTTGCACCCTATGTAAAACCTGACCGTAAACTAATAATTGTAAATAAAGATATACGGAATTATATTCTATAGCAAACTAAAAGTGTCAGCTGTAAAATCGCAAAAGAAAAAATATTAAAAAAAAAGAAAGGGGAAAAATTGAAAGATAGAGACATATATATATGTGTGTGTGTATGTATGTGTCAGATATATATATATATGATAAAATATAGACAGATAGAGATTAAAATAAAATAATAAAAGTATTCTGAATGCCCTCAGAATTTATATTACGCCCAAAGGGGCGCTTTTTTCATTTGCATACACATACACGTTTCGAGACCATTTGGGCTTATGTTACTTTGGTCTAAAAATATTTAAATACAGTCTATCTTTAGAATTTTTGATAGACAGTGTCTCACGCTGGAGATAAAAATGTTCTTGTTCCTTAGAGTGTTGCCATTACTCGCTTCGAAATCGTTGAGTTTATTAATCAAAAATTCGTTAACGTTTTACAAAATTTGAAATACACAAAATAATTAAAAACAGCATATCTTTAAAATTTCCGATAGACAGTCTCCGCACTGGAGGTGAAATGTTTTTCCCATGCAGTGTTGCCATTGCTCGCGTTGATATCATTGAGTTTGTTAAAAGTTTTACAGAATGTGAAACACAATTTGAGAGCGATTCAGACATTTAAAGTGATTCGACGCAAAATGCCGTTTCGAGACTAATACGCTTTTGGGCTAACGCTCCTTTGAGCTAATAAGATTGAGAGAAGAAAAACAGAACGAACATAATCTATTTGCGTAGACCGAAATTACATTCTTACCAACCCAATAGAAACTGCTTTTGCATTTTCAACATTCAATGTTGGTCCAAATATCGGTCACGAAAATAACGTACAATTATTTTCAATACAACAGAATCTCATTTAAGATGAAGTTATTTCTGATAATACTTCCAGAGGGAATAAGCATTGGTAACTGTTTTCGGCACCAACAAATATTAAAAATTTTTTTTAAATAATTTTGCTTTAAGTAAAATTAAGGTATTTCTCCCGCCTTCTTAGCGTGCCTTCGTAGTGTAGTGGTCTGCACTCTGGGCGCGTATTCCAGAGGTCCGTGTTACGATTCTCGGCGAAAGCATTGCTCATTTTTCATCTCTCCTGCTTTAAAAATACCTACTGTCTCTACAACATAAGGCACCTGTAAATTTATAGCTCATAAACTATTTAGTTTTAGAAATCTTGTTATGAATGTTGGCAAAGTGCGTGATTAAACTGACGCGATGTACTGATTACATTATTTTACAGAATTCCAAAAATTCGTTCTTCGAAACTTCTTTACAATAAATTCTAGAACTTTGATATTACCGTTCCTGGTAGTTCAGGGACGTACACATTATTCTTTTGGTACAACACAATGTTTAGTTGACATAATCCATAAACAAACTTAAGTGCTGGTCAGATTTCCAAGATCAATAAATTTGCTTACAAGATACTCAGACCACTTGTTTCCATTACGAAATGTGCTTAAAATATGAAGCGAGGAAAATGATTGATTTTGATTTCATTGTCTCAATATTATCTTTCTTCATAATTTTTATCGATCTGGCCTCTAGTTCAGAAAAGTTTCTTAAATGCATTTTTTTGTAATGTCTAAATACTTGAGCACAGTTTTTGGATATGAAAGGAATGAAGTATTTTCTCTCTGATAAGCTTCGGATTTTAAAATTTTAAACCCCAATCGCTTTACCTGTCTTTATCTATTAAATAATATTCTGAATTTTATGCAAAAGCTAAATAGCTTTTGGGTTAATTACAGATGTCCTGCTTTAAGGACTAAAGCCTGTTTAGCTTTGACCTCAAATATTTCTAATAACTAAGTGACACTAATAAGTTTTGAATCTCTTTAATCTTAGTTTAAGCACTTTAAATTTTCATTAAAGTTAATATTCATTGCTTTATGTTAATGAAGAATGTCTCAAATGTGGAAGTAAAACAAATTACGTACTTTTCTTTTAGTACAGATCCCCTTTACTCAGTAAAATAATAAAATATTAGAAAACAGCATCAGTTGTCTAAGTTTAAATGGAAGCTCAGTTAAAAAAAAACTCAAGGATTGGATTTATTTAGATTAAGAAAGGTAAGGATTGCTATCTCCCTAGAATGCCATAGCGGAGAACCTTCTAAAAAAGCAAGCTCGCATTTATGTTATAAATGGAGAAAATCAAGAAACCTAGTATGCGGCCGGGCCATTTCCCAGGCTATGAAATCGAATCGAACTGCCAATGTTCAGCCATGTTATCATTTGGCCACTGGTGGATAGTTTAGTAAAAAGAAATATTTTTTTAAAAATCTGAATAAAATTTCTCTAGATTAAAAACAAAGTAAAATTTTAAAATTCGAAGCAGAAGACGTGAAAATTGAACTATGTCCTCCACGGGATTCAAACCACATATTTTCCAGTTGTTTCGTAGATATGCTAACCGCTTAAGTTATAACAATATACATATACTTAGAGGAATGCTATAATTTTTTAAAAGGGCTGTTAGAGAGAGACATATGAACAAATTGACCCAATACTGGTTGTATCAAATTATCGCCCACTATATTTTCTTCACTGTACAAATCATTAGATTCTTCGAAGCTGGAAATACGAAAAATCAAGTGTATCCTCGTTGGGATTCAAACCCTGGATTTTCCAGTTTCTACACATAAACATATCCATTTACACCACGTGAGCATGCGTGGGGGTATGTGTGTGTGATTACAAACATTACAGCATTATGGTAAACAGCACTTGAAACAAGAGAATTTGATATCAGATTCTCAATAATTTGTTTCTTCCAAAGAATAAAGATAATTCTAAAAGTTATGAAAATGCTTGAAAATATTAATTTTCTTAGCATATTACCTTTCTTTAAATCTTATTTCGTAATACACTTTATCTTATACACGAAACACCTGTAGTGTTTATTTGCGTTTCCTATCATGTTCATTCGTAAACCTCAAGCAGTAATAGACCTCTATTATATGTGGCCAGCTTCATGCTGGATTTCCTAATACATGATATTCTCAAAAATTTGTAGATCATATTTACTACAATCGCATGCAGTCCAGCTGAGAAACTATCGACAAATTCTCTTTAAGATCAATAAAAAAGCATCTTTTTATGTGCAAAAGCTGCCCTGTAGCCACTAACTAATCTTTACATTTACAAAGTATTTTAGCTCAGCGGAATCTACAATTCGTGTCCATGGTTTTGTTAATAACGAACATGTTTAGGGCTTGTTAGCTTATTAGGCTTGGTTAGTGAAACCTTCGTGTCAATGGATTTGTATGGGAGCTAAGTGATATTTTTGTTTCGGTATGCAAAATAACTGTGAGGAATAGTTTCGCCACAAAATTTGTATCTCCATTGTAAAATCAGAAAGAAAATCGGTTATAATGTTTTAATCTACTTTAGTCTTAGTTGAATATTTTAATACAACGAATAATTTAACAACCTTTTCGTTGGAAATAAAACTCGCATAAAAATACATGAGTGACAGTTGCTTGGTTGGAATCAATCTGATTTTATAGGATATTACTTTATATTCCAAAATTTGCATATAACTTAAAACACTATACTTTTTCATATAAAGCATTTATGCTGTAAATTAGCATACCTTAAATAAACTCTAAATAAGTTTAAGGATATGAACTGCTTTGAAAACACCCAGGTGTTACAAAAAAGACTTTTAATATTATAATCTAACGATATATGTTTTCTGTATTTTTTGTGCATTGAACGCAGAAAAATCTTACAATACCTCATATGGTAAAATGAATTTTATGTCTAAAACGAAAACTGTTGCTGCATTCAGAGTTTGGGGTTAGTGTGCTTGTATGTGAATATACACAAATAAAGCATTCTTCTTAAAGCATAAATATTTATTAAAGTAAAGAGTAATTGTATTAATGATTCATAAATAAATAGCATAAATATTTCTCAAGGAGCAAAATAATAAATAATTCTTAAAAGTTATCTTCATTTTACTCAACACATATATCAAGCAGGACTCTTAAAATTATTTCATTTTTAATAAATTTTCCTAACTTTGAGGATCATAGTATAATTTGTGAGTTTATGAAATACATTAATTGCACATAATTTTAAACATTAGAGAAAATACATACTATAGCTCGTAACAGAAGAAATGAATGAAGGAAATAAATGTAATGACTTACCAGGACCTTGGCCATCATATTCAAAGCCTTTTATGAAGATAGTTTTGTCACTGGCAATATATATAGTTCCTTTAACTCCATGAGCATATGTTTTGAAATCACCTATCTGTTTGCCTAAGTAACGCGTCTGACCTGAAACTAAAGAAGAACCATAAATTAACCTCAGTTTCAAAACTTACTAAGCAAAGTTTATCTTTTATATGAAGTTAAAAATTAATTGAAGATCAGTTCCAAAATTATTTGTAAGTCCGAAAGTCTGAGAACTAGGGGAAATTTCTGACGATATAAAATAACTTAGCCTGCTGATTGACAGAAACTGGTTGTAAACGGTTAAAATCAGCAGTTAAATGGCAAAAACTGATAAAAAATTTTTTTAAATATATAAATTAGTAAAATTGCATTCTAATGCTATTCTAATGAGTATTAAATAATGTGTATTAAAATATAAAATAATTATTACTTTAATCAGCATGCTATTCTAATGAGGAAAAAATAATACATTTATTCTGTTTCAAATTACTTACGCCATCTTGTTTCCACAAAAATATGTGCCTAAGATTAATATTTAATATTAAAAGTAAAGAAAATTGTCAAAATATAAGATCACGCCTCATTGGCTTATTCTCCCAAGCAAACCAGTCAGATAAGTTTCATTATTTAAGCCACAGCTAACCATCATTCATTGCTTGTTTTATTAAGCTGATATAAAAGTTGGTACTAGGTAAAGTCTCTAATACATGTCGATCGCAAAAGCGTATAATAACGCCAGACGTCATATATTATTTTAATCATTTAGACTCATTCACTATTTTAAATCACACTATTCGGCTTTGATTGCTTAGTTTTCCTTATCCCCAGGATTTGCTCCTTCGGAACTATCTTTTGCGATCATTACAGAAGTCTTTAGTCCTTCAGTCTTTGGATAATGCAGAAGATGTGAAACAGCATTACAAGACTTTTTTTTTTTTAATTTTAAACCAAAGAATTTTTACCAAAGAATTTGCATTTTGAGAAAAACGCTGCAACTTATTGTATACAAATGGCCAAGGCATTAAAACAGGAAAACAAAACATAAATTCAGTTGTAAAACGTAAAACAATGTTATTGTAACACATAATAAGTATAATATAGAATCGATGAAAACAAACAATTTTAGAAGACAGACTTTCGATTCTTAAAACATAGTATAAAGTATCTGTTTAGAAATATTTCAGAAATCATCTCTGATAAGGTATTTGAATTAAAGAATACACAGATACTTTGAAATTACAAGTAGACTGCAGTATAAGGTGGAACAGACTAAAACGTTGTTTGCAATTTTTCATAACCTTTCATTTTTTTATAAATATTATTCGAAATTCAAGAACATGAAAAAGATGAAAAAAGAGTACTTGTGACAAATAATATCATTATTTTTAAAAAATAAAACACGTGTTCCAACTGTTAAAAAACCTATTGCTATTGCACTGAAATCCTAAGATATGACTGTTGTCTTGCAAAGCCTTTTGAAATATGGCTGATACTGATAGCTAATGATGATTTTGTAAAAGTTTATGAGAAAGATATTAAACCCTGAATCAGACAATAACTCAGTGCCATATGCTAGCTTATATACGTAATCCAAAGAAATATTATGAACATTAAATTATCTATTAAACGGAAAGAAATTACTGGAACATTGCTTCATGATGCAAAACCTACACATTATGACTTATATCATAATTTTGTATCAATATTAACTTTTTTTCATATACATATTTCGGCAATGAACTCTTACAAAATGTTTTACCTTTTGCATTGTGGGCTAGTTTGAAGAAAACAACAGCAAATAAAAATTTCGCAACACAATTTTTTTTTTGGTACAGTTGTGACACAGGCTGAAAATACTGCAGGGATTTAAAGAATATTCTTCAGCTTTTCATTGAATCATAATGAATTGAAACATTCTATGGATTTTGAAATAGCAGCTAAATTTGTCTTCTGCTATATATTATTGCACGGAAAATTTTAAGTGGAACATGAGTGGCTTCGATTGAGTAGTAGTAACTTCCGCCAAGTAGCATTTGAATAAATATTGTAATCAATGCAGCTGAACTCATTCTATTTTAAAATACAATTTTCTATACTACTCAATATATTTTGACCAATGTTTCAGTTATTTCATAAGTTTTTGCCAATTACTTTGTAGAGTCATTATGTTAATTGGAAGCAGAAAAGATGAAAAATATGCAACCGCCTTCGCCGGGAAACGAACCACGGACCTCTGGAATATCGGCCCAGCGTGCTACCGTTACACCACGAATGCACGCTAGGGAAGTGGGAGAAATACCTTATAACTTTATGACGGAAACTAGCTTTGCCATGCTGGTTGTTTTAATCAATTCAGAAACTTAACAAATCACTGCAGCAGAAAGTTAACAAACTGGAAAGAAGTAGTTATAAAACTAAGCAAAATTGTTCCACACGGTTTTTCAAAAAAGTTAAGCATGTGGGGCAAATTTTGAGCTTACTTCAATTCCAGTGATGATGGCTGTGGTTATAGAATGGAATACTTAAATATCACACGGTGGAGAAAATTATGTCTGCAAAAGTATCTAAATTGGGGATTGTTTAAACATAACGCGTTTATATAAGATCAATTACTGTTCAAAAAAGAGACGGCATGGACGTTCAGCATGGGCTTGTTGTCATCCGTTTCGAAGAACGAGAACCTGTTAAAGATGTTGTTTTTTCCGTTGGTTCCTCTGTAATATCTCGCCTTTAAAAGCAATTTCTGGCGAATTGGTTGGTTGACGTGAGATGTGTTTCTGGTGATCCAAGGGTTATTTCACTTGCTGATGATATGTATATGCTTTATAAGTTATATAATTAGCTTATGATATATGATTGTATGTATGCTTATATAGGATTGCGCTTATAAGTTAAGCGCAATCAGTGAGCAGCCGTGCTAATTCTAAGAGCATCTACAACAAATGAAATGCCAGTATTTGCATATAATGTGCAATAGAGCCTCCATATGAAAGAATCATAATCTCAGAGTGACGAATTTATGTCGAAGAATTTGTGTCCCTTTAAGCGTCAAAACCTGAATAGAGTCATCAGCATTCGATTAGAGAATCAACTGAATAATTCAGCATACTGGTACTAAGATATGACCCAATTTTTTCTGGACCTGAAAGTAAATACACTGGAATCTTGAGAAAAGCAGGAATAGGGAATAAGTCCACTAGTGGTCCTTAAATACCAACTCTTCAGTACTGGCAGTGTAATGGTATGGATTGGATTTTCACTAAGCTGTCACAACGACTTGCACGGCTTTGAAGGAGGTATTTTGAAACCTTAAACCTATCGAGATGAAGTCCTTGACCTCATTGTAAGTCTCAGCAGTTGGTTACATATTTATATTTGTAGATGATTTTGCACAGACACATAATATAAACTTGAGTGAATGAATATCTTGAGTTTGTTCGCATGAAGTAATCAGTATATTCATCTACCATTGAACCATCGAAAATCTTTGGATCTATGTATGCGCTATCGAAAATCTTTGGGATGCACTTGGATGTGCTCTCTCTTCCTGCGAACTGCCTATAACTACTATCACGCTCGTGGAAACTGCCCTGTTACAACAACAGCAAGACCACTTGATTGAATATATGGAACGTTACTGCAGAGCTTGTACAAAGATCACATCCTTATTAATGTCAGTTTCATCAGTTTTTCAAATTTAGTTTCAAAAATGCGTAAAATGTGATGTCCATACGTAAATGATTATAAAATCCCTAAAAATATCTTGTTTTCTATTTTCTATTATTCTTTAGTCATGAATATGTAACGGAATTGCCTCTTTCCTTGTGAAATTAGAAGTCATCAAAGCTTTCAGTAGAATCTAAGGAAAATTTGTTTGCGTTTTCTTTATGTAAAAACATTACAACATCGGTGTTTTGATTCCTGTGTGCAAAATCGAATATAGGATGCCACTACTTCATGACCTCAGATTCTCAGAAATTTCTAAATCTTAACATTTTAAAAGTTTAACTACTTTCAAAGCTTTCTTATTTGCTGAAACATTTTGTGAGAAGTTGTTTCCACTGAAAATAATTTTTTATGCTCTTTTCTATAGTTTCGAGCTGTTCTTCGTTTGCAAAAAATCGAAAATGCTTTCTCAATGCTTCAATTTAATTCGAACCTTTTAGAACGCCACATAGCTATAATACTTAATGATATATAGCACTGCAAATTTCATATATTAAATATTCCCTAATAAGAATGTTGTCTTAGTGGGTTTAACACTTTCGCCGTCCTCTCCTGTCCGCGGAAATTTACCCCCCCCCCAGCGGCCGTCTGTTTTTCGTAGCGTGTATTGTTGTTTCCTCTGTACATCATAACTTTCCATACATGACTTTCCATAGTGGATGAATGTCAATGAATATTAAGAAAAATTATAAGGAAATAAATCATAATGGAAAAATAATAATATCTCTGCTTATTTCTAACACCAGGATAATTTGATAACATCTGATCCAGGCGGTCCACTCCTCCCATTTTGTTGTTGTAATCTTTTACAATTATTGGTTTTTTTTACAGTTCTTTTCCGTGTTCCAACATCAGTCATCGAGTTATTATGGACTCTTCTCATGAAACGTATATCCTTCTTGTCTTTCCAATTCACAACCTCGTTTTTCTCTTTTTCTGCTGAGTAGACGTTGAAGCCATCTCTCACTGTAGAACAACAACGTTTGAGGCGCGTTACGGCGGCCCTGCAGAAGTTTCATTTGAACGCGCTAGACGCGTTACGGACGACGAAGAGGTTAACAAAGAATAAACTACATTTCTAAAACCAAATGAAACACTACAGTTAAGAAGAAATTAACAGGGAGAAAATTATTGCCTGCTTCGGTAGTTCACTAGTCAAAGTATTTTACTGCCAATCCGGGAATTCTGAATTCAATCCTCAGTCGAAGCGAGCTTTATACATCTTCTTTCCCATTGTTCGAGATTCAGTGTAAGTAAGTTTGTAAATACTATATGAATAAAATAAAGATAATTTCTTTAATACTGATGGGGGTCCCCAATCAAAACCTTGACAGATTACGTTGGGCAAAATACAAGGACATTTCGACTTTGAAAGGAAACGA